ATATATATATATATATATATATATATATATATATATATATATATATATATATATATATATATATATATATATATATATATATATATATATATATATATATATCATATATGAGTTATCAAAATTATCCCATATCAAAAAAGACAAAAATGTGCTGATTTTGTAACACATTGCGTTCATTGCACAATTGACAACATTACGTGTTACATAATCCAGATTAAAATCTGCTAGCACGAGAATATTCAAAAAAAAAAAATCAATCAATACTTGACAAAACTTAGAATATGTCCATGTCTAGATGGTCCAAATCATTATAATTAATAATAGGCCTCGAAGTTGATTCTGGTGCAACCCTGTAAAACAGCGTATCACTACGTTCAAAACATTGAAAATAAATTTAGAAAAACCGATCCTGATCGACTTTTGGAAAAAAATCTTTACAAGTATTCCTAAGCTCTATTGTTTTTCATCGTATTCCAAATTGATTTGAAGAACGAGTTACACGATAAAACAATATAAAATATCTTACCGTCCTCTGTTGAAACCACCACGATTGGAACGTGGCATTCCAAACCCACCACCAAATCCTGCGCCGTAACTTGATCCATACCCTCCTCTGCTACCACCGTAACCACTACCATAGCTTCCAAATCTTTAGAAATAGAATTATACATTTTATTTATTATTGATTATTATAATAATTAGATTATATTAATATGAATAAAAATGTAAATGATAAATTTATTGTTTTATCAGTTTCAATGAAACGAATTTAAAAGTATTTGATATTTACGTGCTACATCCATAAGGGGTAAATCCTTCGCGTAAATTTTCTCTTGGAGGTGCTTTATTTCCTGGATGTTCGGGAAGCTGGGGCCTTTTTGGATCCCTTAAATAATTGTTGAAATATTCCGCTTCCGCTTTCACCTCTGCTACTTTTTCTGCATGTTTATTGAAGATATGTTTCCGAATGAAATCTGGTCCTTTAAATTTTTTCCCACTAAGCGGACACAACCATTTATCTTTCGATAACTCTTGTGTATTGGCTTGAACGAATTTTTCTACCTCACTAATTTAAAAAGATTAAGAAAAAAATAGAAGAAAGAGGAAAAAATCCTAACAATAGAAGAAAAAAAGAAAAATGTATCAATACAAGAAAAAAAAATAAAGGATACGCTTCGGCATTCTTAGCACCCAATTTATCAAATTCCTCTTGAGATAAAGTTGCAATTGGTTGCAAAAATGCTGTCATTTTGCTTTCAAAATTACGACAATATTCTGATAACTCAGTACTAGTAACTTTGGCAGTAGGAGGAGATCCTCTGACGTGCATTATGCCACATCTATTTGGCATTTCATCTTCATTTGGATATTCACAATGATTATAATAATCAACTGAATGAACTATTCGTAAATAAAGGATTAATCTGTCTAACACCTAGAAATAAATAACATTTGAATAGTAATAAACGAATATTCAATTATATACTATTGATTGTATATTTTTAGTACCTTGATAAGCGTTGGATCTCTTTCAATAGGACCATCTCCATCACCTCCTAATTGACCCTCTTCTTGATCACCAGACATTCCTAATAATTCTTCTTCTTCAGCCGATGCTTCTTCAATCAGATAATCAGTTATATTCTTCAATACCGGATTTTTAGATGACAATCCAAATGCCTGTAAAAACATATATCACGATATTTTAACGAGAATGCTACAAATCTAAATTAAACATATAATTACATCGCTGTCTTACAGCTTGCTCAACTTCATGTACATTTTGAATACTTTTATTTTCTTTATTGTCGTCGTCCTGTTTAAGCGTATTATCATCTTTTTTTTCATCGGTCCACAAACCAACTCTGCTATCCAAATTGTGTACGATTTTAGCGCTTAATTTGATATCGTGTCTGACTATTTGTTTATGTGATGTTATACCATTTACTGTACGAATACGACGAGAAAGGTCTCGGTTTACTATAGCACCAAGTTCACAATCGCGTAACTATAAAAATTAATAAATTTTAATTTTTATTCTATATTTTTTATTCATGTGTATTTTAATTATTTTTTTTTTAACATACTCGAATGTTGTTTAAACTCCAACATATCTCTTTTATGTTTACTTGTCTTTCAAAAGATACCCATCCTCTTCTAAACCACCTTCTTTCTGGTTGAGGATCTGCTATGGCAACTCGTAAAAATCCAGGAAAACGTTTACACATCTGTTTAATAAAAATTATTTAGTATAATTGATAGATAATCTATGATATATATATATATTTATAATAGCTAACCGCTTCAACTTCTGCTTTTGTTATCGTAGGTGCTAAATTACGAAGGAAAATGCTGCTAGTCTTGTGTAATGCTCTGGGTTCTTTTTCTTTATCTTCGCTAGCTAAATCAATTACTGTTTCTGGTTCCATAGCAGTCTTTTTAGCTTCTGGTTGTGGTTCACTATCCCCTTTAATCTCTCGATCGTCTTCTTTACCATCTTGTGCATCTGTATTTTCATCATTAACATCCATTTTTTCAGTTATATCTAGAAACAAATTAAATTAAAATAATTCGCAATTTTAAGAAAATTATAATATTCAAACTTACGAGTTTCTGTTTTCGGTGTATCCGGTTTATTACTATCACTGCCAGAAGAACTACTACTGCTACTACTGCTACTGCTACTACTATTACTATCAGTTCGTTTCCTTTTTTTAGTAGTACTTTCCTCTGTTTTATCTATAAAAAAAACTTGAAAATTACATTTGAATAATAACATATATTACTTAATAAACGGAAGACATACCTGCATTATCTAAATCTCCCTCTTTTTTTGTTTCTTCTGTATTTTCTTCTATTTTTTCAATCTCTTCTGTTAAAGTTTCATCTTTTTCTGTGTTTTTATCTTCAACATCTGCATTCTGTCCATTTTTTAAATTTTTCTCTGTCCTTGAAGTTTCATCCATTTTATTCATATCGCTACAAAATTCATAATCATATCAAAATTATTATATTTTTTCTTTTTTCCATTAATTAATCCAATATTAATCCATACCTGTTATCAATTCTCTTATCATTCATAGTTTTGTTTTTGATGTCCTCTTTATCTTTGATTGTATCTTTAGTTATAATTGTATTTATTTGCTTTACGTCTAAAACTTGTAAATCTTCATCTGTACCACCTTCTAATTTAATGACCACAGCATCTAATAAATGTAGTAACGCATCAGCCTGATCGGCATCTACGGAAACTTTATCTATTTCTTCACCTTCGAGCATTTCTAAAAATACTTCAACGCGTTTCTATAAAGAAAAAGAAAAAGATAATATATAGGAATATCGATCAATGTTTTAAATATTTAATGTTTAATAAAGAAAATATTTATCAAGTCTATAACTTACATCTTATCCATAATTTATTTACCTTTAAAGCTGCCACTTGTTCCTCCTTTCTCTTTACTGATTCCTCTGGATGATATTTTATTTTGAACCTGATAATAAAAGAGTATAGTATTTGAATCGATTTTGAAATAAATTATCTTACAATTAAAGCAAACAGACGTACAATTTGTGGATTTATCATTTATCCAGAAAAAAAAGTGCATTGGAATTAACATAGTAGTTAGTTCTACTAATTTCTCAATATAATTTTATACTGAGAATATATATATTATATATAGTATAATATATACATATATATATATTTATATATATATATATAAGCACAAATGTGCTTTTAATCAATTATAAACGTATTTATGTAATCGTGATAAATTTATCGCGATAGGTGTTGAATAATGTAAGTAGTAATTGTTACGCATCCCATCCATATTTAGAGCGAATCATTCCTTGTAACTAAGTATTATTGTATCCTTTTCCTCAAGACGATTATTTAAATATCAATTTTATTGTCAACATTGTCAGTTACAGAATGAAGCCTCACCTGTAAAGTCTGATATTTTTACTTGCATTCGGTTTTCTCGTCGACTCAGAGATTTATTGCAACAATAGCATATCTTTGTAATGTCAAATATAATTAAACGGGTTTAGAACGCGGCCTACCGCGAGCATATTTGGGCTTTGCGCGCCCAGCTCGCATTTTTGTTTAACTACCTAATAAACATCTCGATTCTTCTGCGATGCGCGAAACGCGAAATGCATAAAATATCGTACGTAAAAATAAACGAGCGAGGTGACCTGTGCCCAAGACATAAGGCGTTGCTGGCTGTACGCTGTAGGGATAGACAGAGCTGGTCATATTGCTTGCAATTACCGATTAAATTGTGTCTGCAATTTAGCAAAAATTATAAAGCTACTACACCCTTAACGTCCTTCTGTTCAATATACGTATGCACTCTGAGCATACATACCCGAACAGATAGTTCGATGGATTCATTAGGAATAAAAGATTATTTTCTACAGTGGATACAATTTTCGTGCAAAAAATAAGGTTTACAATCGTCTTGCGGAGACAACGATTACAAGTTTATTATTTTAACGGGAATAAAAAAGAAAGCCACTGTAGAAATTAATTATTTTTATATCCACATTTAAGTACGACTGAGCTTCGTTTCCGTTATATCAGAATTAATTTTAAGAACATATATATCTAACTAATGAATGAAAAAAATGAAATATACCATTCTTCATCCTTGTGTGCAACGAAGAATTCATTCAATTGTTGCCTTCTGAATTCCAATTTATATTCGTTATATCGCTTAATAGCTTCCTCATCTGTAATTGAATCTTCTTGAGTTCCAAGAAATGCTTTGAAAGACATCATTGGTGGTTGAGTTTCAACATTGGAATTGCTGAAGTTACCGGCTACTTCTCGACTGCACAAAACATGAAACAATTAACAATCAGCCAATAAAATTTGAAATTTTAGTGCTACCTCAATCGGGCTAATAATCTTGGAGTGAATCGACTCCTCTTTTGCATAGTTGCGATACAACCTCTTTTTTTCATGACAATGCTGTTTATAAATCAAGAACAAATTACAACAAAAAAAAAAAAAAAGAAAGGAAAAGAAAAGAAAAAAAGAAAATCTGTATTAGAAATAACATAAGAAACACAAACCTGTTATTGTTACCATGGTTTCCATAGTGATGATTGCCATGATGGGGTGGTGGATAATGATCTGGACCCCAAGAAGTTGCACCACCTCCTCCACCTCCATAATAATCATGTCCATATCTTGGTCGATCATCCCAATCCGCTCTCATCCTTTTCATAGGAGGAGCCATCTCTTGCGACCTACCAGGACTATATCTATCGCGTCCTCCACCTCCACCTCCACGATATTCCCTATAATCTGGACGTTGTCTAGGCCGACTGGACCATTCTCTGGAATAATCACTATCGTTAAAAGTACAAGAGGCTATCGAACACAAGAACTAAACGATCTTTCTTAATATATATGTATCAATGTTTATTTTAATGCTTATAAATTAGAAATTACCTATCCACCCAATCATCTCTCCTCCTATCATCTCGGCGTCCTTCTCTCGAATAAGATTCCGTTCTTTCTCCTCTAAATTTGTCTCTTCTCTTCCTGTCGTATTCATCATCAGAATCACCCATAATGAAAGGATTTACTATTAAACAGACAAGATGCAGATAATAGATATACAAAATTTTAATCATTAATAAGTTGATATTACCAGTATTTTGTCCAACTGTTCTACATCGAAAAGGGGTTAAGTGAGCAATTAGAACATACATTTCTCAACACGTGACCCGCAGAACATTTTTAATCGTTGTTTTTATTCATGCTCTATTTCGAAATGTAGATATAAATTTCCGTGAACGTGTTTGCTGCAAAGCTATTGAATATTTACAATTTTTCGAACAAAATATTCGAATAACGCGCGAGTATTGCTTTTAGAATGTACGAAGAATTTGCATTTTGTTTATTAAATACGGCGTAATAATATTTAGAAAGATATATATTTTATCTGATATATGAACGATATATGAAAAAAATTTGAAAGGAATTAGTAAAACTTACTCGTTGAAAATATATCGCTGAATGAAATTAAAACTTCACCATAGAGGATTTTTGTCACCCGTTACCGTGCGTCACCAATCACCAAAGTATCATTTCTAGCGAGGTAAGGCGTCAGGTCGTTGCAATCGATACTATACTCGCAAATCGATTTTTCTATCGTTCGCGAGGACCGGGAAATTCAAATAAATTTTAATACAAATCTTCTATTAATCATTTTCTTTGTATAATAATTGCGTAAAAAATATTTAATATATATATATTATTATAAAATTCGTATTAATACAATTTAATACAATTTACAATTTAAATATTACAAATATCCAACATGATACAATTAATATTGCAAAGATAATAAACAAATAATAAATATAATCAACTGAATTAAAGAATCGAAAGTTTACGATTTTTCTATATTCAATATAATCTCCCATCCAGGATATCGATATTTAAAGAAACGCTGTTAGTGCGTTCTAAAAATAATTCTGCAATCATGCTATAATAATTATACAATGATCGTTGATTTTCTTCTTCATTGTTCTTAGAAAATGCATAAAAATATATATATTACCGTACTATAATGAAAAATTTAAGTTAATATAGAAAAATTAGCGCGGTTTCAAATTAAAATAAAAAATTTGTCCGAGCATCGAAATCATCACGCTTATGTTTTGCATTTTGCATGAACAGATTCTTCTTTCTTGCTTCTAACTATGCCACAAGAAAATGCAACAGAATAGTTAAACAGAATCGGAGAGAAGACGAAAAATAAAATCGATGAAGAGAATGTCAAGCATATAATCCTGCCGAATAATGTCATCAATTCGAAAAAAGCGAGTCTGGATCATTCTTTAATTTACATGATCCTTCCTTCGTTCCAAACGTGAGATGAATCGTGTATCTCGTGGAAACTTCTGAAGCTGGATGACGTGGTCGAAGCAAAGCCGGCCGGCTAAAACCAGTCGTTTGGCGTTTTTATTGTTCTCATCTCACGCAACACCATGCAATAGAAAGAGTCGGACAATTATTATTCATTACCACCCACGTTCAGACGCTCATCCTCCTGAGTCGGGGATGATGCTCGGGGACGATAAATCCTTTCACTGCCGGGGATATCCTTATATATAGAAGTATTTGATCGAGACTCACCTCGCAATGACTCGAGGCAAGAAACGGTCGGACAGCCAAGAATTCGATCGTGTAATCGAGCAACGATGAACGGATTTATTCGAACATTCCGCTTTCCGACGTTCGTCCTTCTATTCGCCACATTCGTCGTTGGTTCAGGTAATCGGCATTCCTCCTTTTCTTTCTCAATGTTTTTTAACGTTGGTTTTTTTTCTTCTTTTTTTTTTTTTCCCAATATCGATTCATCATTGTTACATCATATTCCAACTATGCACGAGGAAAAAACGTAGAATATCCGTGGCCACAATACACAATTGTACTTGAATATATATTTTTCAGGGGCGTACGAAGCAAATGTTGGGAGTCTGTCGTACAGTATGTATAAACATTTGAAAAAAGAGACAAGAAGAAACGAATTTTTCAAAAATTCTCGCTAACCCTTTTTCCATCAATTGTATAGGCAGCGCTTCAGCGAATGCGTACAGTTCTCCAGGAACAGCAAGTGCATTGTTCGGAAACGAGGGACACAAAGGAATTCGTAGTTACGACACCAGTGGCGGACATAACCAGCCAAACGGTGGAGGAGGCCAGCCAAACGGCCACCAAGACGGTGGTTGCAAATGGTCCAAATGTAAATGGGAGAACGATGATTATTGGGAGAAGGACGAAGAAGAAACTGAACCAGAAGAGGAAGACGAGGACGAGTGCTACGGCGGGGACGATGGACAATACAAAGTTCACGATCACAGGCAGAAAAACAAAGGAGGATCGCCTCCTGGCGTGCAGAAATTAGCCGCGCCTAATCCTTTCAACGGTCAACAACCGTACACAGGAAGTGGTGCTCCTTCTTTTGGAACACCAATCAATGACTATTCGCAAGCCACAGCACACGGATCGCGACAACCGTCCAATCAACAACCTGGTTCGAATCAAAGATACGATGGTTCAACACCTGGAACAGGTTCGCATCCTCCCTCGTGGAACTCGGCTCCTGGAAGTTGGTCGAATGCAGATGTATCCACGGATAAAAATAGACCTAAAACAGGTTTTGGATGCACAGGCAATTATCAACGCGAGACTGGCTGTGCTCAAGGTTGATTAGATTCATTATACATTCCATTAAACACTCAATAATTGTCATACCTCGAATTCCGTTGTGTCGTTTCAGACTCAAGCGGTGCCTCTCCTGTCAAACAAGCTCTATCACCATTCCCCGGAATTGAAGGCATTCGAAGGAAAGTTCTCCTGGTTACCTCGACAGTCCTGCGCCCGGATGTTCGGGTAGTCCCTATGAAAAATGTGTCGATAAATCGGGAAGCCAACCAACGAGACCACACGATAGTGATAAATCTTCATACGGACCAGATATAGGGCAAGGGCGATATCCTGGATCGCAGCAAAACGTACCTTACAGCCCACAATACTCTAAACCACCAGAGAGTAACACAGGGCCTTACAGTCAACTATCGCAAAATGTAGCTAATCCTCATGTTGGAACAGGTCTGGATTCTGGTGCAGGCAGGACGCCAATATTCGGTTCCACAGACTCATCTCCAATCGGTTCCCCGTTTGGAATTGCGCAAACGTCAAATAACGCGCCACCTGTAACTCAGAAGTTAGGTTATAGCAGCGCGAAAGGAGGTCCTTCGGGTACGAATGCAAGATCTAGAACCAATGCTTCGAAGGATGGAGATAGTAAAATATTTTATATAAACGTGACCCCTTCTTCGGAAAAACCTGAAGGATATAAACCTTCAAATGCGCAACCCTCTTATCGGCCTAATTACAGTGCTACTGGAACAACGAAACTTTCTTATCAACCTACTCCTCACGGCGATGCTCAAACTACGAAATCTTATCAACCTACTTTCTACGATGGAAAAACGCAATCCTCGTATCAGCCTGATTCTGACTTTGAAACGACGAAACCCTCTTATCAACCTGGTATTTATGATGCAACGACGAAACCTTCTTACCAACCTAATCCTTACGATTACAATGCTCAAACGACGAAATCTTATCAACCTGCTTCCTACGATGGAAAAACGCAACCTTCGTATCAGCCTGGTTCTGACTTTGGAACGACAAAGCCTGCTGCTTATCAACCTGGCGTTTATGGTGGAACAACGAAACCTTCCTATCAACCTGGTCCATATAGTGGAACAACAAAGCTTTCTTATCAGCCCGGTCCTTATAACGATTTTGGAACGACAAAGCCTGCTTATCAACCTAGTCCATACAGTGGAACAACAGTGAAACCTTCTTATCAGCCTGGGCTTTATAACGATTTTGGAACGACGAAGCCCGCTTATCAATCTGGCGTTTATGGTGGAACAACGAAACTTTCCTATCAACCTAGTCCATACAGTGGAATTGGAACAACGAAGCCTTCTTACCAGCCTGGTCCTTATAATGATTTTGGAACGACAAAGCCCACTTATCAACCTGGTGTTATGATGGAACAACGAAACCTTCCTATCAACCTAGTCCATATAGCGGTACTGGAACAACAAAGCCTTCTTACCAGCCTGGTCCTTATAGCAATTTTGGAACGACAAAACCTGTTTATCAACCTGATGTTTATGGTGTAACAACGAAGCCTTCCTACGAGCATAAACCTTACAAAGGCCCAGACGAAATAAAACCTCTATCGGGCTGTCAGAGCGGATCTCGAGGTTGTGAAAATAGGAGCGGATGTGGCAGTGAGACAAAATCACCAGATTCTTGTGGTCAGCCTGGTGTCTCCGTAGATATTAGTAAGATCTCTGGACCAATAGTAGGCTCTGACGCGTATCCAAATGATTTTTCTCAAAGCACTCAAAAAATCACTCCTGGAACGAGCGGTCAACCATTTAACGGATCTCCTTTTGGAAGTGGTAATAGTCCATACAATTGCGTAAACGGAATTGGTTGCGTTTCTGGGCCAGGAAGCCCATCGTATGCTCCTGGAAAATTTGATAAAACAAATACGATTGTGGAAGGAGGAGGATCGTATCCATCGAATCCATTTCTAACCGGGAAGATTTCTAGTCCTGAAATTGGTAATGAAAATAAAAAATTAAGCTTCTTTTTGATTTCATTTCTCAAAAAATTGTACTAACAATTTAAATTTTAGGTGGACCAATCGTAACAAGTACCAGTAAACCGATCGGTCATGGAAATCCTTTTCTGCAAGGAAACGTTGGTGCCATCTCAGGAGCTTGGAGTCAGTCCGTCGGTGGAACAGTAGCGCATCCTAGCGGTGGTAATAAAAATGTCATTTCGACGGGAGAAGAAGCAGCCAGACCAATAGGCAAAGACAATCCCTTTCTTCATGGATCAGGATCTGCACGAGGAGATATAGGAATCAATGACAAAACGACAACAGAATCTGATTCATTGATTCCTACCAACGATCGAACTTATGCTAAATCAGGTCAAACGAGTGGAAGTCCTGTCAGCCATTATCCTGGATTGACCAATGATGGAAGCTCATTAGCCACGAAAAATCCATCTGGGACAAATCGCGGCTCGGGAAGCGGAGGAGGTATTGGAATCGGTCCGACAGACTTTGGAAACCTTCCTGGTTCCCATTCTTTCGGTGACGCCATTCCTGGAGCCTTTGCTAACTCGCAAGCTTCTAGTTATGCTAATTCCGGCTCATATTCTGGTTCTGGAGGTACGTGTTTGCTCGAATAATCTTATCTTCCAATTATGACATTCTTGTCGAAGCAAAAAGATACATAAAATATTCGTTAACGATTAGAGATTCCGATTTCTCGAAAATACACGTTGGATCGTAAAAGGTTAAAGGTTAGTAACTTTAGATAAAGATTAATACAATGAACGTGAAAACAATGGAAGAGTTTCAAGGTCCAGAGAATATTTGATCTTCAGACGGTTGATCGATGACGTCTCTCTCACGATAAAATATAAATCAGTGACGCGATTTCACAATTAATAGCAATCGGTCGATTCTATCGCATAACTTCGCTCTTTTTACGTACACGACGTTGTGTAATTCCATACTATCCATAATACAGCTATCGTATATTTTTTGTGATTATCATTTTTTTCGTGATATTTAATGTGTCAATATTTACAAATGTTGTTTCGAAATTTGTAAATATTCTATATTACATTTCTGCACGTTTCAGCACCGTCTTTTGGACAAGCGAACAGTGGAAGTTGGGCTTCTAGCGGAGCGAATGCAGGTTCCTGGTCCTCCAGCAGCGCTTCCGCTTATGCGAGCAGCAACGCTGGCAGTAAGTTTTTAAAACCATATTTGTGATACGTATTTGCATACGTGTAGATTTCCTTGAAAGATAAAACCCTGTTTTAGGTTGGTCAGGGGGACAACCAAGTCACGTGAAAGGATAATCGACGAAAAAAGATGACATTGCCAGATGTTGAAAATAAATTTCAATCATTCTCACATTACGAAAAAGATCCTTTTATTTTGTCTCATTTGCACAATTTTATTTATAATCTATTTTAGTTTCTCATTTACGATACAATCTTGTATGAAAAAAAAACTCACTGTTTTTTTTAAATCCTACATGCGCGTATGTTGATAATTAATCCGAGAATTACTGCCAATTCCTCGAAATGATTGATCACTATGTTGAGATTATTATCAAGATGTTTCGATAGGTAATAACGTAATCGATGAATCGGATATACTGTTAACGGATCTGATGTATTATCGTTAAAAAAATACAAATCAATAAAAAATACATATTGTTATATTGATTATTTTGAGTCAACCTTGAACAATGAATAGAATTGCCAGAAGACGTTATTACTTGTTATTAAGTACATTTAAGAGCATTATATTGATGAACAAATTTAACACTGATATAGAAATAATCACTCGAAGAATAATTGCTTTTTTCATTTTCAATATTTTAAAGTGTCATTTACTTAATAAGAAAGTAAAATTATAGAGAATTAATATAATGAAATGAAATAAGTTTGACAAATAGTTAAACAAACCGATGATGCAGGTACTTTAAATGTGAAAAGCAGCTCTAATGAATTTAAATATAACATCGTGGAAATGCCAGTTATGTCATCGATTCATGCCGAAGATAACCGCTTACATATCGTGTGTCAGTTTATGAATTATTCATTACATCGGTAAGAGAATCTTGAATCTGTAAATAAATATATCATTGTATCGAATAGGTTTGAACAGATAATTTTATCGAACGGGTCATCATAAACATGAGATGCATTATTATTGAAAATTAATGAGTAATACTTTTACCTTGAAATCGATTCAAAAATATGATAATAAAAAATGATGCGAATTATCCATTTGGCCACATAAGAGGCCATACACTTAGAACTTAGTTGTTTTCGAACAAGATGAAAGGTGATGGAAAAAGTGTTGATAAAAAAATTAATATTAGAATTATAAAAATTCCTCTTGGTTTATTGTTTACAGATTAAATGTTTATTTGAATTGCACAATTTACGTCAGTGTTAAGTTGCAATCTTGAAAAAAGGAGAGATTTCGTCATGCGACGCATTTTATTTATCATAAATATAATAACATTCATTGTAAATTGTAAACAATAACAAAAAATAATCCATTAAATCTCTGCCATTGAATCTTCTAAATTCATATAAATTCTTTCTTCCTAACTATCTAAATTTCTTTAAAACAGATTAAATTTTGCTTCGCCTTCGATCCGAAATATCGACTTGAGCTTTTTTTTTTTTTTTTTGTAAAGAGATCGCTTAAACAATTTTTCCAGCAGATACTTTGTACGATCCCTTTCCCGTAGAATCGATATTGGCTGCACTGCTGCTATAAACGCCTTTGGCTTTGTCCACGCTACCGCTCTTACTAACTCCCTCGTCGACATTGCCCATGCGGTTGAAGAGACTATTCGACAAATATAAAATATAATTTTTTTCCAAAAAATTATCAAATTCTATATCGATATAAATGTCTCAACTTACTCAACTCCATGACCGCCACCAGGACCAAAATCATCGAATCCACCACCAAATCCACCAAAACCACCGCCACCAGCATTTGCATTTGCATTAGCAGTTGCGGACGCACTTGAACCAGCAAAGGCATGCGCATTGGCGGAAGCAGTCGCCTTTGCATTTGCGTTCGCGCTTGCGTAAGCATTGGCGTTCGCATTGGCGGCAGCACCTCCATAACCTCCTTTGCATCCTCCAGGACAGCTACCGCCACCACTTCCACCATAACCGCCACTACCAGCTCCACCACCTGCACCTCCATAACCACCGGCACCACCTCTTCCACCGCCGCTTCCACCTCCAGTTCCACCGTAACCACCGCTTCCAGCTCCGCCACCTGCACCTCCATAACCACCGGCACCACCTCTTCCACCGCCGCTTCCACCACCAGTTCCACCGTAACCACCGCTTCCAGCTCCTGCACCGCCATAACCACCACTGCCTGCTGCGCCACCTGCACCACCATAACCTCCGCTTCCAGCTCCTGCACCACCGTAACCACCACTGCCTGCTCCGCCACCTGCACCACCGTAACCTCCGCTTCCAGCTCCTGCACCACCATAACCACCACTGCCTGCTCCGCCACCTGCACCACCGTAACCACCTGGGCCGCCAGGAGCAGTCTTTATTATACCAGCCGATCCTGCTTGAATTGAAAATAAAATTTTAAAAATCTTGAAAACATAGTTTGGAAAATGTATTATATAATAGTGCAATAGAATGTCTTTTAATTAAATAATTACCTCCATGTGCCCCGGCACTACTTCCAGCTCCGGCGCCACCGTATCCTCCGGCACCACCTCCTCCTCCAGCGCCACCGTATCCTCCGGCACCACCTCCTCCAGCGCCACCGTATCCTCCTGCACCGCCGCCACTACCAGCGCCACCTCCAGCGCCACCATACCTCCAGCTCCGGCATTACCGCGTCCTCCAGCACCACCGTATCCTCCGGCGCCACCGTATCCTCCAGCACCACTGCCAACGCCACAATTTCCGCTACTACATCCAGGTTTGCCATATCCTCCTACGCCAGCGGCACCGCTATTAGCTCCAGCGCCACTATATCCTCCGGCACCACTTCCGGCACCACCGTATCCTCCAGCCCCACCTCCAGCTCCGGCGCCACCATATCCTCCGGCGCCACCGTGTCCACCAGCGCCACCTCCGCCGGCGCCGTGTCCTCCAGCACCACCTCCGGCGCCACCGTATCCTCCAGCACCAGTGCCACAATTCCGCTACTACATCCAGGTTTGCCATATCCTCCTAGACCACCGGCACCACTACCAGCACCGCCACCGGCACCACCACCGGCACCACCACCGACACCAGTTCCGGGGCAAGTTCCAGTATAACAACCAGCTCCTCCTTTAGTACCACCTCCACCAAAACCGCCACCGCTGCCAAATCCACCACCGCTACCAAATCCGCCTCCACCTCCTCCTCCTCCACCGCCACCACCGCCACCACCAAATCCTCCGCCAAATCCTCCGCCAAATCCTCCGCCTAATCCTCCGCCTAATCCAGCCAAATTAGAGAGAAATTGTTTGCCATGGGAACTCAGGGTATCGTCAAATCCAAATGAATGACGTTTCACTATGATCTCTGCAGCTGAAAAGATAATTCACAAGTTAAGAAATATAATATTAATTATAATATAAGGAATATAATATTCTTAGAAATAAGCAGCTTTTAAATGACATAAAATTATTGCATAATTGATTATCATTGCAAAAAATTAGAATCAATAGAAAAGGTAATAAAAGACAATAATTATACGTATATAAATTTAATTTGAATACAATTGATGAAGAAAATATACCTTGTGCTCGAATACAGAGAAAAGCCAGCAAGGTAAAAAGCCCGATCGTTCGATATCTCCGCATGATGTCGGATCTATTCTTCTATTCCGAACCTTGGCAAGACGCTCATCTTTATATCGCTCCTCCCACTCTAATTTCCCGCACTTCTTCCTGTAACCATTCCCGTTTCTTCGAACGCACTTCCAAGTGTAAAACGGTTCAAAGAGTGCAAAAAAATAACGGTCGGCCAAGGTGATCGATGATGAACACGTCTATAATCGTCAAATCCTGCTTTCTTCCTGCTTGTCAGAAGAATGACAGAACATGAAAGATCAACTTGGAGATCCTTATCGTATTGACGTATCCTCTATATTTTTCATCGATTATTCGTTTTATTGTTTAAATTTGTTATCATTGCCTCGTCTATAACTTCAAAGTTATTAATTCTAATTTTTCATCCATTTACTTGAATAAAATGAAACAAAGAAATACGTACTCGATCGTTACCTACGTTATAGTCGATTTCAAAATCCTTGAAGCTACGTAACTATTGAAATTACCAAATACAATAATTTTTGATAAATTCATTTATATTGAATCGATCGAAGACACGTTGAACGTTCAGGATGTTAGACGCATTGTTCGTTTTATCTTTTATACAGAATTTCAACAGGAACAATGCAAATAATGTTTCATCGTGTGACCTAGGAACAGGGCATCTTCCGATGGGAACGAAAAAAAACACAAAAGATAACGATCGGTAAAACCAAGTGGCTGGCTGGGGTTACGTCATTGGAAATTTCGCGTGTTTTTTTTCATTCAATGATCACTTTGCTGTGCAAGCAATGTTAATAACATAGCGTAGAACATTTTTGGCATCGGTGAAGGCAATCTCGTCACTGAAAAAAAAAGCATCGTCAAATAAAAAATTGTTACCGAAAATTGTGATTAAATTGATTAATCGGGAAATAAATTCCATCGAGCAACGATCGATCCTCGATAAAAAATTTATACACGCGAATAGATATGCCGATAACCTTAGAAGTTAGACATTGACCTAGATCTAATAACATATTATCCATTATATATATAACGATAATATATTATACGATATATAGTTATACTCTGTGCATTTTTAACAATCCACCCGGATAATTTATTTCGCGGAAACGTAACTCTCTTTGTTTCGCAGTTACCAAAGGACCGATTATTATCTACTCTCGGTACAAGGATACTTTATATTCGTAATTCTCACATTAAAGACTCGTTTGACCGGCTTCAATTACGATATTTAATGAGAATCCACTATTAATCAATGATAACGTGGAAACGATTAATGCATATCGCGTACGATCGTTGCAATTTTATCATTGGGTATTTCCAATACATCTCGTTCTACACAATTGAAAAATTATTTGCCTTATATTAGAATATAGTACATTGTATTACGTTCAAGCATATCCTTTTTTTCTCAGACGTCTATAAAAGTGAGAAATGATAATTACATGAAAAAAAAAAAAAAACATGATTTATACATGCAAAATTGATATAACACACGTAATCGAAAGAAGTTTATGAATACTAATTTGTGAGTTGAGGTATAATTTCTGTTGCTATAATTGATATTAATAATGTACGTTTATTACGGAATATTATCGATATACATAATGTTACATAACAATTTATTTCGAATCAATGTTATGAAACATATATAAATCAAAACAATACAATTTTCTTTTTTTTTTAAATAAACGTACAAGTTTGGCAACTTTTTGAACAACGCTTCTCTCCACGAGCATCTCGAAAAGCTAACCTTAAAGATAACCTCCTATTCGAAGCACAATATTCAATGCGAATATGAATACGATCCTTCAAGTATAAAACTAATTTGTTTTTGATTATATATATATATATATAATGTATGTATATATATGTATAAATTAATTTTTATATTATAACAAAACAATTGTAATTGCAACTAAAAAACAGATAACCATTAAGTTACGGACTTTTTTTCGCGCTAATAAATCGCTCGCGAAGATATGTAAATTCATATTATTGCATAGATTCTTTCTTTTTAAATACATATAGAAGATCGTCACACATAGCGTATTTCTTATCAAATAGAACTTACTTACTCTCTGTGTGATCAATCATAGAACAACTTTAAAAAAGTTATTTAAGATAAGTAGTAAAAAGAAAGAATCATGAAATTATGAAATCTTGAATATAATAATAAGAAATAATTTCTCTATATCTTCCATTAATTTAATAACAAAAAAAAGCTCTTTTATACTAAAAAAAAATTATTGTCTTTTTTAAAATGCGAATGGCTAAAATAATTCTACTATAAAATTGGTCCAATACTTATATCTAGTTTTTCACCATTGATATCGAAATTTAATCATCCACATTTAGATTCGTCTATTACTAATATAAATTCCAATCAAATACGATCTGCTTTGATCTTTGCAATAATATTTGCATTTCAGTTATTATTCTTCTTATCCTCATATTAACCTAAATACAAAAAAATTGATAAGAATGAATTTATATTGACAAAATTTTTTAGAATATCCAGATAAAAACATCAGCATAACATTTCCTCTATATAAGACATCTTACTTTCGTCTTTTTATAGTTTTATAATTTTTTTTACACAGTCTTTACATTTCTTTTTATTTTTTTTTCTTTCTTTTCTTTTTTTTTTTTTTTTGTATATAATTAATTTCAATTTGATTGTCGATTACAATCTTAATCGTATTAATTTAATTTCAGTCCCAGAAATAAGGCCGCGAAGTTTTGATCAATTTATTGCTAACAAATTTCTCTTCTAAACCTGTTGAGATTTCTTTTAATACTATATCGGATGAAAAACGCTTTGAAAATTCTTAATGATATATAAGATATTCGATTCATATGTTTCGTTACTTGGAATTGCATAGAACACGTATGTTAATATCCTTCTTTTCCTTTCTTGAAAGAACGTGACTTTGCTATGTCGCGCTTCGAATCACTTCGACCCATCTGAAAAATACATTTGTGTCTCGTTTATAAAATTTCGAGAGATAAATTTTTAATATATCCTTTTCGTAATTATTATCTTACCGTCCAAACGTGTAGTCGCTCTCAGCACGGAAGAAATAAACGTGATTTCTAAATTGCAACTTGAAAACAAAATCTTTGTTGATACCATCCTTCTCGGATGGTTTGGTCACCGTGTATCCCAACAATGGCAAACAGGCCAATGGAAAGTCGTCCCGATGAGATTTATAAAAGAACAAGCAAAAATTGGTAAAGACGACCCAAAGCTTTTGCCAGCCATTACTATTCTTGAATTTCCGTAACAGAAATCCACTAAGTTGATTCTAAAATAAATACTTATTTTTATTTACCTCCGTACTTCTCCAAATGCGTCGATAAAAACATTTCCTTTCTTACTTACTTGAAACGCTCGCAACTGATCGCTATAACTGATACTCGTGTTACGATGCCAACACATATGTACAGTCGTGTTGATTCGTTGAGAGGCTTTAGCACCTCCACAACTTCCTCGGTCCGCTTCTAATCCGATATTATCGCCCATTTCATCGGTTGAATCTAAAATTTGTTTAAATATATATATATATATAAAATCAGATAATTCTGCTCGATATCATTAAAACATCTTGATGAAACTTACTGCAAGACTTTAAATTCAAATATGGCATCTTTGGATCGGTATCCGCTTGCACGATGGCCATGTTCAAATCTTCCAACCATCTTTCCTTTTCCTCCTCGTTAGTAGCAGCGATTATCAAGGATCTAGATAAATCATTGGGCATTGATAAAAACAATAAAAAAGAAAAGGATAAAAAAATTAAAGAAGCAAAAAACGAGTGTAACGACAGCGAACAAAAGAAACGGTCTTTTTGCGGTCAATGACTATAGTTGATAAAATGTTCACTGACACCGTTACGCCGTATGTCTGGCGTATTCACATTGGACGAATGGGGCGGTTAAGTGAAGTCTATACAGTCAATTGACCTCTTAATAATCGTACAGGCCTCGTCCTTTTAACACCTCGTTACATCCAATAATTTACTTGAACGGAGCACAACAGTCGAACGGAGGGAGGGAGGGATACTCACTGATTTCCTTGGGCGTCGATTATGAACGCAAATTCCGACCCAGTTTTGTTGTCGCTATCACGAATCTTCATCCCTTTTAACGGCAATTGATCGTGAACGCGAAAACATTGGGTTGGTTGTTGGGTGTGATACGTGTACAACAATATGTCGGAAAACTAGAAAAGATGGAACAAGAAGAAGAAGAAGAAAAAAAAAAAAAAGTTGTGCGGAAAAGGAGCATACTCGTCCCTTCTTTGGAAACTTACCAGGAAGAACATCCTTTGTTGAAAACCTTTACGACTGTATTTCTGCAAGCAACCTTGCCTGATAAATTTACGACCTTCCTGCACCAAATTGTCGAAACCGCTGATGTCCCTTTGCATTTCGCAAAGCTGAACCAGATTTTCCTACGATAACATATAACATGTGATTAAAAGAAGCATTTAACACGAAAAATGATTTTATATCGTACAATGATCGTAATATATATAACATTTTTTCTCTTTTTTTATTCCTTATTAAGAAAAGAAATTAAATTCTTTATATAGCAAGTATATGTAATGATCACGTATTATATAAACTGTTCGTTTATTTAATAATTAAAATTCAATTTCGTCGATACGTACCGCTTGGTTAATTATGCTAAGTCCTTCGAGCAACGTTTCCCCTAATCGATCCCTCGCTGCCAAACAATCTTCGAAATCCGTATGATCTTTCGGATAATGATCTAACAACCCTAGAAAATGGGATCGTTCGTGATGCGCGTCCCCAGACCGTACGTAACGCACGGTATAAATAGATGAATTATTATTATTATTATTATTATTTAAAAATTGGTTTGAACGTACTATCGATAATACTGTTATAATGCAACAACCGTTGCAACGGTTTCAAGAGGAATGAGGTAAGCGGTAAATAACAATGCTTCTGGGCCTCGAAATCGCGGCACAGCTGATCGAAACGACGTGACGTCCTCGTGTAATATTCCATCTTCTCGAGGACGGGTATCAAATTCTCGAGGTATTGATCGTAAAGGGGCAGCACGTTCAACAACGTGTTGTAAAGGAAATCGCCTATGTTGTGACGCGCGTTGCTCTCCCACCGTTCCAATCTCGCCTCCATCTCTTGAAGGCAAGGTCCGTGAACATCCGCCAAAAGCTCGATCAGCGAAACCACCGCCTCACCCTCCAATTTACCCTCCCGAGACACCTCCTCCCTGAACCTCTGCGAAGAATAATAAAACGGTGGATGATAATAAATAGGGCGAGATCAATCGGGAGAATAATTCGACAAAGAATCGTGTAGGAATTGAATGAATAAAGTTACCACGTTTATCATATCGAGATCCTTCTTGTATGTTCGCTCGGTCATAAGCAGTTCCTTGGCTATGTAGTACGCCTTGTCGGTTGGCCATCTCTGTTTATTAAAAAGAAAAAAAAAAAAGAAAGAAAATCATGTAATGAATACGTTATATACAAAGATTACGATGGAAAATGAAAGGTGACCTTAGTTTTTCGAACTTCGGTATCCTCGACCTCCCCGTTCCTTATATTTTTCACCGGGCTCAGATCCGGGGTATTCACCATACTGGCGTTGCTCGTTTCCACTACGATACCGTTCGTCCGTTTCTCGGGGGATTTCTCGTTGGCGAAAACCGAGTTGTTGTTCTCCTGTTGCCTCTTGGCCGGTGTCCCCTGTTTATCTGTCTCGGTATCTGTAAACGAAGACAAGTAAGAGAAAGTGATCCTTGCAAGTGATCGGGCGTTTCGATTCGAACAAAGAGAGTTTGATAATAAAAATTGCGGAGGTAAGAAAGAAGAAAAAAAAAATGAACGAGGGCGAGGAAAAAAGTTGAGCTCGAATCGCATGCTAACACGGTGCATTGTTGTATCGGCCGAGCCTGTTTTAATTATAAAACAATATATAAACCGATAAAATTTCGCGACGACGAAAAAGAAAGAAAAAGAGAGAAAAAAAGGAAGAGAAAGAGAGAAAAACAGAAATAGAAAAATAGAGAAAAAGTTCTCGGATGGATTTATTAAATTGTTCTTTCTTAACGGACTGACCGTCTCGAAAGTTGCCGCGGTTTCAAACCGTTTAACGTACATGCATAACGTACATGTGGCTCCACTGAAATTCGATACGGTAAGGCTCTTTGACGACCACGTGTTCAGTGAGATCCATAAATATCAAGGCCAATTGGAATATTGTGATCGTGTTACAAAACCGCAAAAACTTTTTAAACTTGTTTTGAAATGGTTGGTTATACACATACACGAAGATCGTGCAGGGAAATGCGTTTAAAAAAGAAAGAAAGAAAGAAAAGAAAAGAAAAAGAGATCTATCATCATTCTTTCTCAACGAAACTCTACATATCTAATTTCTACATTGTTCTATCTCGCATATCGCAAATCGATGCTATATATAACTATGATATAAGAAGACTAATGGTAACGTCTGAAAGGCTAATAAATATAAATAGCTGGAATAATTTGAAAAAGTAAAAATAATAATAATAATAATAATGATAAGAACCTTCGTCAAATATCGGAATAAATTTCGAGGAAGAGGGAAATTCGTTCGTTTCATGCAAAATCCTACGATGTGCACACAGTCAAAATTATTTTCGACAGCGTGTAATCTTAGGCAAATAAAAAACATCCCAAGTTTTTTTTTTGATAAAAGACTAAGAAGAAGCCATTCCATCTTTGCGCCGAATTACAACGAAAATATGTCCAAGTGTCCACTACTATAAGATGCGAAACTAATTGGTTAAGTACATCCACAGACCCGTGAACGGAAGAAAGAAAATAGTGCCACTATAAAATGAAGAAATCGTCGAAACAACGAACGGCAAAAAATAGTAATAATAACATATCATTGACATTAAAGATAAAGGCACTGTTGGGGATTACTCACACATGGTATTGTCATCCGGTCGACCAACGAATCCGGGAGTGCGATAAAAAGATACGGTAATAAAGAACGAAAAAAGGACGACGCGTAGGGAATGGAAAATACCTCTAATAATAATAATAATAATAATAATAATAATTGATTAATAATTAATAAGTAATAATAATAATAACATTGAATTTTATATAAGAGGAAAAGGATAGGAGAATCAGAGAAGAGAGAAAGAGAGAGAAAGAGAAAGGAGAGAACGGTCGAAATCGAAAGAAAGAAACCTAATGTCGATAAGAAAAAAAAAAAAAAAAGAAAAGGAAAAAATCGTTGAAGAGATACATTGAAACGAAAAATATCGAAAAAACGTAAAAACGGAATCACAGAAGACCTCTGGCTATGTGACTTTGTATATAATTTATTATTATTATAATTAATGTATCAATAATTAATGTACAATAGAGATTTCCTACGCTTGAAATATCGTCTTCCCTTCCCTCGAACGCTGTGATTCCCTCTTTCGATTTTTTCCCTTGTATTCTTTGAATCACAATTGAATTTCGATATATATCCTTCAAAGGGGAAATCACCGCGTATTGTCGGTATCCTGTATCAGTGTATTATATCGTGTATGTGTTCGTGAATGTGTTAGCACGTGTTTGCACGTGCTGTGTGTAAATATATATATATATATATAAACATATATATCATATACATTTATATATAATATATATAATATATATATATATGTGTGTGTGTATATGTATGTATATAGAGAGAGAAAGTTAACAAATATACTTCATGTCGATAAACGATCGAAAAAAGGTATAAATTACAAATTGGAGGAGCGCCGACACGACGGACACGCGTTATCATTGTCAAGTTATAATAACGAATAACCCTCGCTTCCCTCCGTCGTCATCTGTTTAAATTCATTTCGATCGTTTCGTTTCAGTTTGACCCGCTTCTCGAGTATTACATTCAAGCCTTATAAAAATTGGAAAAGAACCAACGACACGTGAGAATGTAGAATCGAAAGCTGCCTCTTCCGAAAAAAAAAAAAAAATGTATCGAAGGTACATACGTTTTCGTTCTATGTAATCCTTTCAGAGTATAACACGTATAAAAAGTTTATAAAAGGTCGTTTAATCAAGTTCGCTACGATAACGTTTCGTGGAAGACGAGGATTTCCGTCTATATAGAAAAAAAAAGGAAAAAAAAAAAAAGAAAGAGAAGAAAATGTACCGAAGAAAAATGATTCTAAATATACAATTAGAACTGGATTTATTCGCAAAAGTTGTTTGGCACTAATCGAAAAACAGTCGAAAAACATCTTTAAAAGAGTATCAAGAGATACACACTTCGATCGCAACACCGTAATGCGACGAGGCAAGAAAAAAGATAAAAGAGCGTTAAAAGAACGAAACGATTTAAGGTGATTGGTACTTTTCTGTAATCGAGCAAGCGGTAGGGAGAGAATGCTCGGGTCGATGAGGATACGGTTCTATATAGTTTCCCATCGCGATACAGAGATCAATCGTTATCGTATCGTATCTGGAAAATCGACGTGAAAAAGAAAAAAAAAAAAAGAAAGAGCGAACACCTGGAAGAAGGATCGAAGAGAGAACTTAGAGAGTCTGAGATCGGTACAATTATATGTGGTGTGTCATATACATACGTTGCAAGAACGATAGACAAGTACCGCGATAAGTGACACGGTGTGTAAGAGTGCGTTCGGTGTGTGAATCGGTTGAATCGTCAGGGGTGGTTTTCTCTTCGGGGGTAATACGGGTAATACGGTGTGAAATATCGTGGCAGGCGATATAAAGATATATATATATATATGTATAATCGTTGGTGAATCGTGAAAGGGTTCGCTACGTAATGGTTCACAAGGTTCCTAAGTATAAGTAAAAAATGGTTGACACACGTTCAACGCGAGTGTGCGTATACGGAAAAATCAAGTACCACACTGCAACTAGAGATGTGAGTTTAAATCATTGCGTCGCGATTCGTTTCGCTTGTAACGCGTATCAGGATATCGATTTTCGTAGTTTCGTTTCAAAACGGTTAGTAAATAACGGTTTTCTGCGGTTGCTCGTGTTTCAATGGGATCGATTTTCTCATAATGTTCGCGAACCCGCAAAAGCGCGTCGACGTCTCGTGAAAAATTCACATCTCTGCGCACGATACGGGCGGGGGGGAGGGAGGGAAGGAGAGCAACGAGGCAAGCTAAAGTGAACTCTACATATATGTATATATATATATACGTCAAAGGATCTCGGTGCGATTTACTTTACGAGGAGTATAAGAGCGGGGATCGACCAATACGAGAAACGAAGATGGCAACTATGTAAATCGGATTTAAAATGTTAAGGGAAGAAAGAGACGAGAGGAAACGACAAGTTTCAAGCAATATCGTACATGGAAGATTGCGAGGAAAATTATAGGAAAAGTTTAGAAGGAATGGAGAGAAAACGAAGAAACTTCTAAAGTGCTCGGATACGATATTTTGGAAGAAATCGATCCGACTATTCCACTACCTTCTAAAGATGCAGTGCTAATGGCGTTTGGGGATAGTGAACGAACAAGTAACGAGTAATAGAAGGTGTGCCAGATCCGTATGTCTAAAAAAAAAAAAAAGAAGCAGGATGTAAGAGAGAGAGAACAAAATGGGGCTGAGACGACGGCACGCGCTTGTAATCGCGAGAACGACGATTAACGGATCCCGAACTACTCGTACCGGGCGAGAACGGTTAAAGAAAGATGGTTGGCAAAAGTCTATCGATCCATCTACTCGTCTTCTCTCTCTCCGCAGGATCGTAGGCTACACGATCACGTAGCGACACGAGAGAATGGTAAACGTGTGAACGTGACGGGGCCTCGTGAATGCGAACGAAGCATCGTGGATGGAAGAGCGAGGAAGGCGTCTTCTCTCCCTTTCGTCCCTTTTCTTTTCTCTCCACGTTCGCTCCGTTTCTCTCTCTTTCCGTTCACATAGCGTGTTAAGAAGAAGGGGTCCGATTCTCTCAGAGATGTAGCGTGGTACTTCTTTCTTTGTCCCGTCTCAACGTGGGTATGCCGGTATGAATCGATTGGTGAGAGTGCGTGGCGTTGCGTGAACCATTACGTTACGAATCTGCGCCACGCGAAGTGGCACGTGCCAAGCAGGCGAGTTCACATAGCCGTTCGCGTAGTTCCAACGATTGTATTCACCACCTGTCGAAAAGCATATGTAGAGTACATGGAAATTCCGTTCTCTACCGATTCGTTCTTCGTCTCCCCCCTCCCTTCCCACTATGTCCCGTACGTATGCGCAATGTACGTATTTTCCACGAGGTATCGAATCGCGAACGATTCGAGAATCGACCGACGATGGATAAACGTCGTGTCCGTTTCTCGTTTCGAATCTAACGTAAAGCGAGTGTAAAAATCGATAAAAGAAATCGTACACGGGAATAATCGCAGGAATAATGATCGTACAAGTTGTCTGGATACATTTTGAGTTTTAATACCTTGTTCCCTAATGCAAGTGTCGCGATTTTTGCGTGCTAACCGTCTTATACGTCTATAATTAAATATAAATTCATATATATATATTATATATATATATATATAATATATATATTGCATATAAACATATACGCGTATTCGTTGGCATACGTGTATATACTTACACATAACATGTACATCATTTATCATAACGAACAGTGTTCAGTCGTTTGCTAATATCGATATACATAAACCGATCGAAGTTTCAACTTCTTGTCGGAATAAAGTAGTCTCTCCTTTTCCACTTAATCGTGATTC